TAAGAGAATTGGTGCTGAGACATCAATTACCTGACGAAGAATGGAATATAGATAAATTCACAAAATCCCATGTTCAACATCGCTTCGAAATCGAATTGGATGAACTATATGCTAATGCTATATGCTCTATGAAAATGATCTATTAACTTGGTTGGGATTGCCCGCAGAACGGTCATCGTTTCGAAGACTATCTAGCTGCCGGGCGTTTATTTTGTTATGGTTGTGCAATCCCAAATGCTTCCAAACGATATTGTTCTAAAAGAGGCAAATTTTCAAGAAACTCGTCCTGATGCTCTCTGAATCGTTCGATGGCATTTAAGATACGTCAATGTTAGCTCGTTTCATTTCGACTCAAACCGATCCTGATGAGAGGTTAGAAATGCCAAAACCTAATCAGTTCGAGTTAATTCAATGTATAAGGAACGCTACAAATAATTCCTTCGGCACTCTAGACACGACTTAAACGATCTGTCACTCGTTTGCCGTGATTCTGGTAAATTAATCTATAAGGTAGAAGACAATTTTATTCCGCCACCATTTTGGATATTCATCGAAATGACATACGAACATTTGTTTCTATTGAGTTCCATATCGTGCTTAGCTGGAAAGTGCAGAAAACGGTTTCTTCAAGAAATTAAATATCCTTGGGAGTACAATGTATCTTTAAAGACCGCTGATGGACATGTAAACATGTTTCTGCACGCAGATGTTGTTGAAAAACTTTTTTTCGCCAAAGTTAATAGAATGCTCACTCTAGGGGTGATAAAGAAATCCCTCAAAGCGCTTTGTCCTCATCCATTAAGTCAAGAAACGTTCGGCTATGCTTAGATGCTCGAAAAGTGAACAGTGAACTACCCTTGATTGGTAAGATATTGAGTAGATTACAAAGGGTAAAGTCCATTACAAGCCTTAATTTAAAAGCGCTGTGTGGTAGTTACCGTCAGAGGAAAGGCCATTATCTCAATTTATGATAATGGCGCCGCCTCACCTATTCTATCAAGCATTTTTTTAGTTATGACGATTTGCTAATTGTTTCTGAGAACTTCTGAGGAGTATTTTGAAGTATTGTCTGAAATTGTGTTATATATATGTAACCATTAATATTGAAAAGAATAAATTATTGCAAAAACAAATAAACTATCTGGGCCAATTAATGGCACCATCCAAACAGGTCTCGATAAGGTCCAGGCTATTCAAGAAGAAGAATGAAGATTTTTACGTATTTGTGATTGGTGTCGACGTTTTGTTCGCAATTATGCGTCCATGTCTGCCCGCGTAACAGATATGTTAAAGAAAAACAAAAGTTTTGAATACTTAGAGGAATCTGAATTGTCGTTTGAAAAGGTTAAAAGAGAGTTACGTTCGACTCCAGTCAGTCAATTCAGTATCGAGGTATATCTCTACATGTGGTATTTGCAAGCAAAGCACCGAATCACATTGTCAGGCCATCTACTGATCAACCAATAATTCCTTTCCGACCTTTCCAAAGATTATATCTTGATTTATTAGATCCTTATCCTAGATTATCTTTGTGATCTGCCCCAAAAAGGTAATAGGGTGAAGGAGACCGCGTGTCCAGTAAGCAAGTTTCGACAGTGCGTGTATACATCTTGAGTGGAAACGTCTCTTGAATGTTTGCTGGATAAAATGCAGAACCCCCCCCCGTGCATAACCACTTCTGTAAAGTGTTCCCGAAGTCTTTTTACAATGTTTATTAAAAAGCTAAAACTCGATCATATAGCCATATGGCCGCTCAAGCACAAGGTGCGAAAATGATATACTCTGACTAAAAGAAATATCAAAGAGAATTTCATAGAATTTTTTTCAAATAATTTGCGATCTCTGGCGAAATTCAATGCGGCTTATGTAAAACTATTATAGCAAATTTCACCAAAAGAGCGACAGCAAAATTTTTTACATTTGTTGTCTCATATTGTCCAAAAATTTTAAATGGCGCTGACCGATCCATGTCTTAGAGAAGTATCTACTATAGATTGCAAATAACGTTTCTTTTTATATTCATTCTCGATGCGGCATTGTGCGGATCACACGCCTATTTTGCGACTTTGTTTGAAGCTATCAATTAAGAATGTATATATAAGAAGTTGCAAGTTTATATATCAATTGTTCCATTAACGGACAATAGACGATCGACTGAGGAGACATATCCATCTTCCAAATCTCATACCCCGAAGTATAAATTGAACGTGTACCCCCCTCATTTTCGGATGGCCATAAAGGCAGCAAAATGAACACATGCGCACGTGTTTATTTTAAGATTCTGTCTGCGTAACTCTCTACAGCAAATCCGAAAACTGTGATTTATAGTTTAAGAATAGGAAATATAGAGGCAGACAGAAGGGGATGTAGCCACCTTTTTATGGGACCCGTTGCAAGCATTTTTATTCGCTTAGTATAATTTACAGGATGTATCGTAAAAATAAAATCTTATTAAATGTTAATAGATATAAATCTTTCTCTCTCTCTTTCTTTCTTTCTCTTTCTTTCTCTATGAGTATGAATGGCTGTGTGAGTGTGCATACCCGTGTGTCACATATCAGCAACTTATTAATGCAACAAAAGTGGGATTTGTTTTTAAAATAAAATTCATAATTAATAACACAGGTTAGGAAGATAAATAAAATTAAAAAAAAAAAAAAAAAAAAACGAAAACAAAACAAAAACTAAAATAAAAAGAATTTTTTAAATGCAATAAATTTCATTTTTAAATGCTACAAAAATTAGTATTCACATCAAGTCTGAAGTTATTGAACTGATATCAAGCACATCTTGCTTTTTATATACATACATATATATATATATATATATATATATATAATATTATAAATGCTTCCACCGGATATTATAAATAAATGTTAAGTATACAATCGGTGTGAAGAGTAACTTTGAAATCTTTTAAATATCTTTTTGAATTGTCTCGTTTCTATAGTCCCTTATAAAGTCCTATTAATAAGCAACGTACACAATTGCTTGCATTGATATCATCAGTTACTCATGATATTGTTTAGTTAGATTCTAATGAACTAAAACGGATACAAAGTATTGTTTAAGATGGCTTTGTTTTTGTTTTTGTTTTGTTCATCTCAATGCATTGATCTGATCTGTTTTATATGCAATCAGGTATTTGCTTATTTCCAATGAATCACCTTAGCTCAATCGTCATAATGTGAATGGCTTACGCAAATAGTATTAAAGAATATTTTTATTTGGCTCCGTGCAGTTGAACATTAATATTAAGAACCGGTTACAATACATTTTCTTATTAGAGATCAACGCTTCATTTTTCATCAACGACCCCTTCAGTAGTAATTGCAAAATGACGAATTGCGTTGTCAACACTAGTTATTTTGTATACGTTATTTATTAAGACACAAACAAAATTTATTTTTAGTTTATCTGCTTATATTATAAATAATTATCATCATATTTGTATTGTTGTTAGATTATCTTATTATATGTATTTTCAAATTTCAAGTTAGTTTACGCCCAATTGAGAGTGAACTAAAAAGATTCTTCAATTTTATTGAAAATAAAAAAAAATAAAACAAAACAGCTTGAAATGTTGAATAATTAATTAATTTAACGTAACTATGAATATAATAATTGATTTATTGATAAGAAAATGTCAGTTCTATAAATAAAACATTGGCACTCTGCCATGTTAACTTTCTGCATGAATTTTGGGCTTAAAGGGAATAAATGATATATATATATATACATATATAAATATAGGAAGGATATGGGCTGTCTTAAACTTCTTCCTTTTTTCTATGTTTTTTTTTTTTTTTTTTTTTTAAGGTTTTCTATTGCAAAAGCCTATCGGGGTTTGATACCCCAACCTCTCAAAACGTTTGCAGATAATCAAGATTCATTTTCGCCCACTGAACTTGTGGGAAAAAAAAAGTAAAAGACTACCCCTAATGCACTGTTATATAGACCGTTTCAATAGACAAGTTTTACAAATAAGGCTTACGTTTCACAATTTGCCCGCTCTAATAAGACGCCCAAATATAAGAGATAAAGAGAATATTGTTACTACACTCAAATCTGTTAACGATGACGACCCGAATTTATAAATTATATGCAAATCTGTGGGGCGTATATTTGAAAATGCTGCTGCACAATTAAAGAAAGTAAATGAAGTGCCTGCCTGACTCATAGTAATCCAAGTTTTCCAATTGTAAAAATTTTCTCTAATGTACACTCTGTAGTGATAGAAAACCCGCTTGCAGCCTTAATAATTTCTTTATTTCTTACACTTGCGCGCCCCTTTGAAATCAATTCCGATTGCCAATTGAACCAACTCCGTCGTAAAGCATTCATTATAATACAATTTGCAATGCACGGTACCCTGATAACAAATTTGAACATATTGTTAAGCATCGCTCTTTGCAGATATGCAGACATCGCAGAAACTCAGAAAAAAAAAAGAAAGATAAGTAAATGCTATACTCAATGGAAATACTCTGTCAATGGACGCAACAATAAAGAATGCATAACAGGGCGGTTAAATTTTTAACTTGAGTTAAACCTTCTTAATATTAGCCTTCAGTGGATTCATATGTAAAATGCCACCTTATTTGAAAATTGCAATGCGCCAGAAGATTTGGATCTATTACCAAATCGTTTTCTCTTTGACTTCCAATACGGCCGCGTTTATCTTTGAAAAAGAGTGTGTATTAGTTTAATAGGCAGGAACGCCTTCTAGAATACAGGAAAATGGAAATGAAATAGTTCGTCAAAAGTTGGAGTTTTAAATGGCATAACGAAAAAATGCTCTTTCTTTTCATAAAACTTTCACAGAATTCTAATTTTATTTAAAAAAAAATTAAAATTAATGTTCTCTTATCGGAAAAATTAAAGACTACCAGCGAATATGTAACATTAACGAACTGTTTAACATTATTATAACTTATATTAAAACATTTTAAGAAATAGACAAACTTATAAAAATATAATTAAAAAAACTGATCAAAAAAAAAAATCGATTATTTTTTGTTCAATATTAATTTGTTTTAATCTCAAATGAACAAAATTAATGCACAATCATATTTAAATCGCTTTTTAATTTTGTAATAAATTTGATTTTAACCTAAAACACTTATCGTTATAGATGAAATTGTATAAACAAATATATAATATATTTATTTTAAGACACTAAAATCACTTCTATGTGCATAGGCGTTTTCAAACCAAATTTGATTTTAGAAAATCGTCGTCATCGTCTTCTTCTTCAATTACACTAAACGATTGCTTATTCCCAAGTGATTCATGTTTCTCTAAGTGTGTTTCAAAGAATTCCTCCACGGTATCGGTATTCCATTTAGTTATAGATAAGGTTTCTTTTACATTACCATTCGAATCCAACAATTTTATGATAGGATCCAAGCCACGTACATATCGAATAGTAAGATTGCGAAATTTCGCTGGACGACCGCTTTTGATGAATGCCTGTATCTGAGGATATGCACGAAATTTGCAAGTGCAAACTTCTAATATGGCCATAGGGTAGCGACGGTGAGCAGCAGGCAATTGGTCGAGAGTACAACACTCCCGACAATGAGCTCTGCATAAGTGTTTAATTTAAAAAATTTACAAGAAAATTTAATTGTATACTTGCTTTAAAGTTTCTAAACCAAAATCATCCAATTTCTCACAACTGGAACACATTAACTGATTCTTGATGAAACCCAGCTCACGGCAACCTTGCGTTGTAAGCTCTGACCACGCATAAGACTTTTACGTAAAGAATTACTTTAATTTAATAATAATATTAAAAAAGAAAATCTAAAAGAAATCTACACTTACTATACACAGTAATAACAATGCACATAAATATTTTAACATTTTGTGATCTAAGCGTTTTTCCTTGCAAGTAGAATGCTAGCAGCTACTTTTTTCTACACGTCAATTTCCATAAAGTGCGTTGTCAGCGATACCAGATGTTTGTTATTTACATTCCTTCTTCTCTTCTTCTTATTCTTCGGTTATTCAAGAAACAACAATCGAAAGCTCGCTGAGATGTGTAAAAATGCCCAATATGAACACAAAGTTCCTTGTTTGAGCCTTAGATCGTATATATAATATTATTATTTATTTATTTTAATATTTATTTGATTAAAGTCTTTTTAATTTTGCGTGTTATACATCCGGCACGTTATTTTATTTATTTATTTATTTTTCTTAACTTTTATTATAATATGCATATTACTCGTCCGCCACGTAGATTCGAACGGAAGAGCGGGTAATAAATTCCGTTGTGTAAGAAGTAATGTAGCACATGAGGATAAAGTGTCATATGAAGGAATTGAAGGGTGTGAGAGTAACAATGTGTAAAATTGAGTATGTTTATAATGTGACTGTAAACGCTTACATGGCCTGATGACACAATTTAAAAAAAGAAAAGATTGTGAAGTAAGCCACATATACTTAACCTGCGAAATATGGAATGGCGAATAGAGCTGGTATCGCTCGCACAGACAAATAGGAAATGATCAGGAGATTGTAAGACTCCACAACTACATAAAGGTCTATTCACTATGTTAATTTTGAATAGATGATCGTTATATCTCGTGGGATTAAACATCAGCCGGTTAATAAGACAAATAGTGTCACGTCTGTGTCCGCAATTGTTAAACCAAGGGGCTTTATTTATTTGTGAAAATAAATAGTATAAATGACGACCGTAAGGTGAATTATTCTATCACTGTTGCCAAGAAAGAACTTAATGTTTTTTTGCCGATTGCCGTCAGATTTGTAGGAATCAGAGCACGATCATTAAATTGAGATGGCCTGGAATATGCAATTTTACCAGCAGTGTTGTTTTGAGCCTATAAAGTAAGGATCTGATTTCTAATATGGAAGGGTGTGCTTTACCTCGGGGAAACAACTGTAAAGCGGATAAGACAGTTATACTGTGTGATGCTATTGTTTATCATAAAAATTAAAAAATTATTCTTCGTTTGTGAGTGAGCAAATCAACAGGAGATGATTTGCTGAGGTGAGTAAAAAAGGTTCAACGTAAACACGAGGTCCTATGTTTGCACGATAATCAACTTGACAGACGACTGGATTATATATATGTGCAGATATGTACATAAATATTATGCGTAAAAAAGTCTATTAAAATAAAACGAATAACAAATTGAATGTTGAAAGTATTGTTTATATTTTTTTAAATTTTTATTACGTATTAATTATAAAGTATGTCAAATTTTCGCTGCTTCTTATTCGAGAACTGACATAAATTCAATTTTGTACAACATTTAAATAATAGTGACATATCATTTTCGAATTTCTTAGTCTTTAAAGGTCTTTGTCGGGATCTGAAGTGAAACCAGTAGTTATAAGTTAAGTCACAGCTAATGGATTAAAATCGCATCAACTATATATATATATATATATGGGTGCATTCACCTACGTATTATTATTATTATTATTAATTTCGCCAGAGAAATAAATTCTAAGACTAAACTCTTAAAAGCACTAGCATATAAGGCTATCGGCCTTTATTAAAAACTCTACAGGACTTGAGATTCGAACCCACGACCACTGAGTTGCTAGTCGAGACTCTTGCCTACTCGGCCACCCAGGCGGATCACCTACCTAATACCGTCAATTTGTTGAAAAAATGTTATTTCAATTATCGTGGTATATTTATTTACATGAACGTTACTTCTTCATAAATGATGAAAAATTTGTTAAAGACTTTTGAGCTTTTCGTCTAAAGTTGGACAAAAAGGGGAGGTGTGTGATACTGTTTTATTTGCTGGACAGTTTCATTATTAATGTTCAACGAGCGTTTTAAGAAAAGAAAATTCAGAAAAATTGCTTTATTGAATATCTTTTGGACTGCGGACTCATACAATAGTCCCATGAAGTCTACACAATACATACAATACAAAATAAAAAAAATTAATAATAGTACGTTACGAAAATCGCTGGATCTTAAAACTTTTCGAACGGTTTCAGGGTGAATACTAATTCGCTTTTATTTTTCTAGGCTTTTCACGATGTTAATAGCATCAGTTTTGATTTCATTTGTTACAATATCGGTAATATTTCGATTTTCAGGCTCTATAAGGTTGTTTGGTTGAGAAAAATGACTATTAACAATTTGTTTTTGCCTATTTTTCAACGAACTATTTTATAATCACATTTCCAATCTCTTGAGAAATATATTTGAATAATAAAAACTCACTTTAATTGATAAATTATTATTTAAATGTGCGAAAAGAAGTATAAAAAGTAAGTACCGTTAATTAGAGATTTTCTACTTTATGTAAGATTACTAATATATTGGTTAAACTTGATTCAATTTCATAAACATGTTTACGATGAATTAATAAAAATAACCTTTTTCAATTTTATAAAAAAAAAAAAAAAAAACCGTGATGGTTATTGATTAGCACTGTACTCCGAATTGATTAGCATCGACAAAAAAAACAAAATAAATAAATAAAGTAAAACAAATATAAATAGAAGTGAAAAGTAGTAACCTTTTTTACTGTTTTTTTTAAATATTAAAAAGAATCATTATATATATTTTGTAATTTAGTCTTCAGTGACTTAGTATATTATAGACTTTCTTACGGACAGCAAGTAAATAAAAAAAACATATATATAAAATTATATACATAAAAAATATATATATAATTATATATATAAAATAAAATGAAAATTTTTGTGAGTTTTGCAAATATATTCAAAATATTGTAAATTAAGGAAACTTTTGATTCCTTTTAGTTTCTCTTGGTTGTTTTCATCGTTTATTGCACTGCGAAGCCTACACTCACCACGTCTTCCAATGGCGGTTTGCAACGTCCCAGTCCCATTGAACCGACAGTTTCTACTGACACCAAGCTAAAGGAATCTGAAGAAAAATCAAAGTCCGGTGTATTGCCTCATGGTTACGAACATCATGTAAGTAAACGCGATCATAAACCCGAACATACAGAAACAGCACCAGGAAAACCAAGCGTTGCCTTAGAGAAATCTGTAGTGCGAATCGCTCCTAAGCAGGAGAATCCGGTTCTACTCGGAAAACCTATAGAACAAAAACCTCAACATAAACGCGATGTGCCTGTACCTTTGGTACCGAAGTACCATCATTCTGAAGAGTCAACTAAAGGAGAAAAAATCGACGTCAAAGAACAAGATCCCAAGAAAGATGTTAGTGTAAAGAATCACGAGCATAAACACAAACGGGATGTTCAAGTTGAAGATCTTACTGGTGTGATTTACGAAAAACCTAAAGGTAATGAGGAAAAAACCAGCACCACAGAACTTTCAATAATTAGCCCGAAACCAGCCACAGAACCTGTGGCTGAGCATAAACATTAAACCGATCATACAATCCGTAGATAATTATTTTTTTTCTTAAATATAAAACTTAAAGGAGAAGTAGTTGCTAACCAATAAATATTAAAAAATGAATTCTTAAATTCAACAATTTAAAGATAATTTTGCAAGTCGTTTTAATAAAATTGTAATTCACAACCTTTTCTAAGGAAATCGTATTTACGTAATACTTTTTTTCAATTTCAAATGTGAGATATAGCCACACCTTAGCCTTTTATTAAGTTGGAAAAGTATTGAATTTTATAAAGCTGCGATAATAACTTTGCCGTTAGTAGAACAGACGGACAACATTTTAATACTAGATGATGCGTTTATACTAGATATTGCTTAATAGGACAGAAGCAAGGGGCAAACAAAAGGCGAATATTCATCATTTGTGGAGGCTATGGTAATTTCAAAAACAAAAAAGAAAAAACTTAGCAATAATTCAAAGAAAATATTTAGGCGCTAGCTTCGCTTTGCTGATAAACTTCAGATCGCAAATTGAGATTTTAAGACGTAAACGTAAGACGGGCAATGTACGAAGTATAGCTTTGCTGCTGCGCCTCGTAAACATTCTTTGCAGATCTCATATACAACCTAAAATTTTAGTAACGGTTTGAAAAGTTTGATTCGTGAATTCAATTAAAGTGCTAAGCTTTGTAATAATTTTTGTATCCATATAGTTTTCTTAGGCACAAGAGAAATTACATTTCAATCATCAATAAGCATCAATAGCAATACTTTTCTTCTTTCTTAGATAGTAAACTTAACTAACTGCATTCATAGTGTCTATACCATAACTCATTTAAAATAGTTATCAGTTTTAAATATCTCTGTCGGGCGAAATTCATTATTTTTTATATTGCTTGGGATTATGGTCTCATCGATTGAACTATCTAACGAAACTGTGTTACTAGATTTGCTTTTGGACAAAAAAGGTTTAAATATTAAGCCTTTTAAACTATAATCTGTAATATTTAACTCATTTTCGGCTATATCTAAGGATTTCTCCACTTCGTCTACGTTGTTATTCACCAAATCGATAAAATTTTCTAATTTATCAATGCGTTCTTGTAATATCCGAAATTCTTTTGCAAAACCCACAATATTGTTTGTATACTGATCTACGATAATGTTATTTTCGGCTTTCACCTGAGGAAGCAAAAATAAATAAGAATTAAAATAAAACTGGAATTCCATTTAAAGAACTAACGTTAGCTAATAATGTTTCCAGTTCATCCAAACGTGCCAACATATCCTCGATATTCATGCATATGGGGTTCACCTATTTTTATGCAAATTTAATACATCAATAAAAAATTTGAATTAGTTACATATATCATTTTAAATGTATATAAAACCTCTTTGTCCAGACTTATGCTTTGAAACAATTTGGCATAATCTTCAGCCGCTTTCTTCTCTACCATTTTTACTGATACTTGTGTTCTTTGAATTGCTACAATTATTCCAAATAAGAAACAGCTGTTTTCCTCTTCTATTCCAGCTGCGCTTGCTTCGATTTCTTCCGCTACATTCCTTGTTAAGCAGAACGGAACGAAACTCCCATCTGAACTTCAAATTTAAAAATAAAATATTCTTTCTACACCAACAGATATTATTATTATCATAATTTTTTCGTTTTTTTTTTTTTCTAAATATGCTATTTATCTATGTCTATATATTTTACATATGTAAAAAGCAAAAAAAAAAAAAATTCTATCAGTAAGAGCAACTACACGGCAAAAATTTGTTACCAATTTTCTAAGATGAAAAACTAAAAAAGTTAGAACTAGTACAAAAACGTCCGGATATCCGGATAAGTTCTTCCCCATCATTTCTACTCAATGCGGAGTTTTCGATAATATTTTATTCTTGAAAGGCTCATGTAAGATCGTCAACTGATTTGGCTTTCGAGCAGAATCAATTTTATCAATTTTGATCTCATTTTTTAAAAATTTTTTTTATTTTAATAATAAGCTTCTTCACACGGTGTATTTGGCGCCGGAGACGAGAATGCGGGTGATGTTTTCTACGGCGTTAATACTAAAAATTTTTGATTCAAAAATCGGCAAACTAAAATATGTTAATGTGATTTCCCCACACTCACTGCGATGACTTCATTTATATTTACGGTAGTTTTTGGTATCGAAATATAAAGTTAATAAGGACAAAATAATTGCAATCGACCTCGATAACATATAAATTCGACACTTACTTTTTCTTAATTTCGAAAGCATCTCCTCTCATTTCTATGTGCCGTTTCAGCAATTCTAAACGAATACTTTAAGTGATTTTTGCAAGAATTAACATTTTTTATAGAACAATATTGACGTCAAAATTTCCAATTTTTGACTACTAAACGCGATTAAAACAATTGACAATTAAAAAAATAAATATATTTGTACTATCTTTTTAAGGGCAAGAATAGGGCAATCCAGGGCTTTAACGCTGATCCGAAGCATATATAGTTTCCCCAATAGCCGATATGTGTTGCTTTCCCTTGAAAATATTGTAGTTCAATGTTCACATATGTTTCAGCTCTGTAAAAAAGACTATGTTCACACACACGATGCTTATATAGATCCAATACGTATTTATTCGCTGTTATCAAATGCCCTAAAAAGAGTAAAGCATTAGTTGCAGTATAGCTGCAGTAGAGGCGGCGCCATTTGAAAATGCCTCCCCGTTGTAGTCGTTTGTAGGGCGTCCTCCAATTCATTTTACCAATTTGCCAATTAAAAAATATAGACTTTGCAATAAACTATTTGCAAATATGCTATATACCGCGTAGGTTAGTAGTTTTTGCATTTCAAATTTATTCGGATTTACTTTATTTTAAATAATTTAATTTTCTTAATGTAATCTAACTAAATTTCTCTTTCCTTGTAGTTTCTTTTTTTTACAATACAATTGTTTTTGGTAAAGGCAAATAGCCACTACAAAAACTAAAATATTGACCACATGTTATGTTTGGTTGTCACAACAATACATTATAGGTTTGCCTATGAGAAGACACGTTCGCGAAAATATTAAAAATTTGACGAAAATTTGCGTTTACCCACAACGTAACACAATCATTGTGTTGAGCACTATATATTGTTTTGTGTAATTCCTATGTTCTCGTTTAAGGGATTTAGAAATCTCAATTTTGGGGAAAACAATTAATATTGGCAACACGATCCTATACGCGAAAGAAAGTATTTTATTGACCGGAAAATAAAAGCAGAGTTTATTCAATTATTTGCAATTTGGAAAAATCGAGTTTGTGCATTAAAAAGCAATTGATATGAGCAATTATCGTGGCATTGGAGGCGGTGGCTATCCATATAAATCATCCACAAATCGTGGTGGGACTTCGATGAATGCTGTACCGCCACCCTCCTCACTAAACCACAAAGGCTATCAAAAGGGTAGCAATAGAGTCGTCAATAACGCTTCAGGTACTTCAAAGTACGGTTATTCAACTTTGGAATCTATTAGTCAATATTCCAATACCCAAAATTACTTAGGCAAGCGTAAAGCTTGCACTGAGGATGAGTATTTTGATGATGATGATGAGCAAGTGCCGGAGCAAGCTTATATACCAGCACCGGGCTCACCAGGGCCGCAGCCTCGCCGAAAGCAAGAAAATAACGATTCTGATGATGATCCTTTAGATCAATTTATGGCTGGCATTGAACAGCAAGTAGAAAAAGAGAAAGCTAGGCGTGACCAGTGTGTTACGGTAAGTATTTCAAGTAGCACCACTCCAGTCCAGTCATCGGTAGTCAATTCAAAGGGTGTGCGAGGTGATATTGACGAAGAAGACGATGAGGAAAGCTACTACCGTTACATGGAGGAAAACCCCAATGCCGGCTTAAGAGATGATGGTTCCGATATTGAAATTGATTACGATGAAGATGGCAATCCTATTGCTCCTCCCAAAAAGAAGGATATAGATCCTTTGCCATCAATTTATCATTCTGAAATTGACTATGATCCTTTTGAGAAGAATTTTTATACCCCACATGAAGATATTTTCGGTTTAAGCGAAGAAAAGGTGCGAGATTTGCGTAAAACTTTAGGTGTTAAAGTGACTGGACCCGAACCGCCTAAACCGGTTACGTCATTTGGCCATTTTGGCTTCGATGAAAGTCTTATGAAAGCTATACGAAAAGCTGAATACACGCAGCCCACACCAATTCAGGCGCAAGCTATACCAGCCGCCTTAGGGGGAAGAGATATAATCGGTATTGCTAAAACGGGTTCTGGCAAAACGGCTGCATTTATCTGGCCGATGTTGGTGCACATAATGGATCAACGAGAACTGAATGCTGGTGACGGGCCCATAGGCTTGATTTTGGCACCAACGCGAGAATTATCGCTGCAAATCTATAATGAAGCCAAAAAGTTCGGCAAAGTGTACAACATTAACGTAGTCTGTTGTTATGGAGGCGGTTCCAAATGGGAACAAAGTAAGGCATTAGAGCAAGGAGCTGAGATTGTTGTAGCCACACCTGGGCGTATGATTGATATGGTTAAGATGAAGGCTACCAATTTAAGAAGGGTCACATTCTTAGTATTAGATGAGGCCGATCGCATGTTTCATATGGGATTCGAACCCCAGGTTAGTTATTTTTTTTGATAATCTAATTGCGAGGAAGATTTGAATGTTTATATTTAATATCAGGTGCGTTCTATTTGCAATCATGTCAGACCAGATCGTCAAACCCTTCTTTTCTCGGCTACCTTCAAGAAACGCATTGAACGGTTAGCCCGCGATGTACTGACCGATCCAGTTCGTATAGTTCAAGGTGATCTCAACGAAGCAAACCAAGACATTACACAGCATGTGTTTTTATTCCCAAATCCTATGCAAAAATGGAATTGGTTGCTTTTGAATTTGGTGCGGTTCCTTTCTGAAGGTAGTGTGTTGGTATTTGTTACCAAAAAGGTCGATGCTGAAACGGTAGCAAACAATTTGCTTGCTAAAGAATACAGTTGTTTGCTATTGCATGGCGATATGGATCAAGCCGACCGAAACAAGGTTATAACCGAGTTTAAAAGGAAGGAATGTGATATACTAGTGGCTACGGATGTGGCAGCTAGAGGCTTAGATATACCGCATATTAAAAATGTAATTAATTATGATATTGCACGTGATATCGATACACATACACATCGTATTGGTCGTACCGGTCGAGCTGGTGAAAAAGGAACTGCCTACACTTTAGTTACCGACAAGGATAAAGAGTTTGCTGGGCATTTGGTTCGTAATTTGGAAGGTGCTGATCAAAAAGTGCCGGATGATCTAATGGAATTGGCTATGAAAAGCTCATGGTTTCGTAGTTCTCGTTTTAAGCAGGGCAAGGGTAAGAAACCGTCAATCGGTGGCACTGGTTTAGGTTATCGTGCCAAATCGTTTACATCTGATGCGAATTCCAGCAGCCCTAGCCTTAACAGTTATTCATCAACCAGCAAGTCATTGTCATCAGCCGGACCGGCCACGGATCGTTATGCTGCTATGCGCGAAGCATTTCGTTCGCAATATATGTCACAATTTAGACCCTCTACTGATCGCACCTGGGAGGAAACTCTACCTGAGACAGGAGTATTCACGGCGCCCGTGCCACCGCCACCACCGCCGCCTCCTCCAGCATTACAATCTAATAATAGCACTAGCAGTGGTGACAGTAATACCTCGAGTACCGATGGAAATTCGGGAAAGCGCAAAGCTAAGAAAAGTCGCTGGGATTAAATGAGTGACATTTGAAAAAAATGTATACATTTTCTAGATTGTTTTCGAAGTGAATTTTTTGTACTCGTAATAAAACTTCAAATTTTAATTTAAGTTTATGTATTAATCAGTAATTGATTACTTTCTGTTTGCAAATCGGTGTATGTGTATGTATTTAATACATAAAAGAAAAACAGAAGATGTTGTTAAAAAATTTTGTTCAAAAATTTTTTTTTTTTTTACTATTTTATATGTAGAAATGTATTTTGCATTCAATACAATGAAAAGTAATAAATTCTTGATCTACAATAATATAATTAAATAACAGCGTGTTCTTGTAATTAATTTAAAATTAAAAGTATACGTTTAGTCTGCTTTAGCCCATTCTACGGCATCCGTTACGTACGTATGTCCGCATTTTTTTCATCTTTTCAATTTGCCTTTGCCTCTGCCAAAATATGAATTTAAAGTCCGGAAAAAGTTAACATAAAACGTTCAACAAATACGCTTGAAGATGAAGTATTAGAAAAATTATTTAATAAATAACGCAAAGAACCAAATATGATTTTCACGTTTGACTTTACATTATTCGAGGGGCATACAAAATGAATTTGGTTAAGTGTATAAGGAAAGAACATCAGGTCAAGATTTTTGTTTTAGACAATATTTTCTTTTGACAGATGACAGTCGTGATGTTAAGAGAATGAAACGCCAGTAGCTTCAGTAATAAAGGTGAATAGCAGAACCTATATACAAACGCTTTGTGTTCTTCATATATGATTTTTTTGCAACTTTTTAAATGGTCTTCAATATGTAAAAAGCAAGAAAAATATTTAAACGTTCTTTTGGCGATCGTAAGTTGATCCGTACAGATGTTTAGTTTAGTTAGTCGATAGTCGATAATCCGCATAAGTAGACTAAGAGGTAATGGTCGCAACGACCAAGTCAACGGGTTTGCGGGTTTAAATTTCAATGCGGTCGATTTTACTTTAGCCGCAGTCGCAGTGAGTGCTTGCTTAGTCGCTGTAGGCATAGTATTCACTGGCACATATCCACTAGGCTACGGTCGCTTCTCTATTTCTTTCAATTTTCGCCAATCTCTCAATTAAACAGTAATGTGTTAAAGAGGGCGCCGAGTCTGGTTTGCTTCGAAATCGACGTGAGATTATATGAAAATATTTTACCACGTCATGACTTTCAAATAAAACACAAATGCTCCTTTTTTTTTATTTTTTAAATTTAA